TAATAGATTATAATAAGTCAACAATAATTTTTTAACAATACAAATAAAAAAAGTATTATAAAATGTAATTAAAACAACTAAAATAATTTAATATAAATTATTGAAACAATTATTAGTTATTTATTAATAATACAATACTATATAATAATGTAATCCCATAATTTATAATTAAAAATATAACTAAATTTATAAACATTACTAATTCAAATTTCAAAGCGATGAAGTTTATAAAGTAAACCTGAATATTTATATGATGATGGTTGTCACGTATAGACCGAGCTTTTTTATAAAAATCATTGACCGTTTTATAAAATAAAAATGTTTTTTTATATTTTATTGATCAATTTATAATATAACCAACCAAAAACAAAATTATAAAAATACAATAAATAGAATTAAACCACAAGTTGTATATAACTTTGTTGTGTTGGTATTTCGATATTAAGCACTTTGACAAGAACTGAAGTTATTGGCACAGTCACTACAGCCAAGTATGACAATCCAAAAACAAGAAACGAACACACAATTGAAGAGATGATGGAGTGGTATTCATTTTCTTCTGAATCGATAATGCAACTATTACACAACTCAAACATTCAAATTGTAGCCAAAAACTGTTGTTCACATTGACACATCAAGTACCTATAGTGTTTGTCAATTGTTGTGTCGATACAGCATTCGTTCTTTATATTAATTTAAATTTATATATAATATATACTATATTATTATTTATATTATTTACTTAAAAAACTGTCTTTTCAAATTGTCGTTTTCTACTGTTTTGAATTGAAAGTAAAAGCCCCATAAATTAGGCAAAGCATCAAAACAAAAAAATACATTCAATATGAAAAATACAACAACGGCAATATTGATAACATCGATCACTTTAAATTAAATATGTTGCTAATAAAATTTTTATTGGAAAATGGAGAGCTCCAATGAAAAGTCAGACAGCATTAATATACCGCCAATAACAACAAGAGCAAATTAAAGACACATTGCCAAGTAATTTATTTCACGATGGTGACACTACTGTCGATGAATATTTCGTCAAATAACAGCCAAACCCGACTCCTCCAAAGAAACATATCTTGTTGTAATATTACAGAAGACAATATGAGTCGATTCTGTTATTCAATGATAAAATACTAACAACGGCTATAACCACACTAAAA